TCCCATGTTTTGGTGGTCCGTGTTTGCTCTGATCCTATTTTGTATTCTAAATTTTTGATAAATAATCCAGGCAGCTCTTTATACACGTATGACATCATTGGATAAGAAGAATTCCTTAATCATTTCTATATATACCGTGTAAAATCTCTGATTGAGAAGCTGCAGTTCTCTCTTTTTTGGTTATTTTTCCATCTGATTTTTAAGAATAATGTTTTCCATTCTGTTATTGTTTTTTATGTCAGTATTACAGGTCAGGATGGGTTCTCTGCTAACCTGTAGTAAAACTCTGTGACTTTGATGAACGAGAAGCCTGGCATCCATGTTTTCCGACAAATTAGGAACCAAAAGACCTTCCTCCGTTTAGCCTTCGACAAGGATGTCTAGGTAACTCTGGACTGTGTTAGTTCTGCGAAGAGAATTGAAACCTGGCATTTACAGAAACGATTACTGTAAACCAATTATTATACACGTCATTTTTTATTCGTGACTGACCGCTGGAGAACTAATCCGCGACGATTTATTTCCGCGAACAAGTGGTCATATTTTTTAAAATTTCCACAAGTATTTTATTTTTTGCATCAAAATTTTATATCCGCTTATAAACTAGGTAAAATGCTACCGTGAGTGCTGCTTATATATTATTTAAGACATTCTGTGGATTGCGTCTATTTTAAAAAATCTTATATCCACACCCAAAGTACGTAAAATATTACCATGAGTATACTTCTTACGCATTATTCACGACGCTCGAATGAAAATCGGTAAACAAATAATAAAATCGAGGAGATTTAAGTTGGTTTAAAACTCTCAATTGTAAAAGTACCTCGTGCTAATTGGGTAATTGATGCTTTTCAAGATCTACATAGCCAAAGGGCAATTATTATAAATGGTTGGGACGGAGCAGGACTGGGCCATAATTAGTCGTAATTAACCAGGCTATCTCTAACTCGTCTGTGACAATTAATGAACAATGATAACACAAGCTGAAATATTTATTGACATTTTAATCGTTTTAGACAAATATTTTTAGATTTTCCATTCGTTTATATATATTTTTCTGAATGTTTGAAATAAAACTTCATCTGTTTCTAGAACACTAAAATTCTTCCGTAATTACTTATTGAACCGTCGGGATCGGTACTCAAAAAAGGGCAAATAACTCTAATCATAACATGGGAAAATGAACAACTGGTTCGCGACAATAAATATCCGCGAGCAGAGGTTACTCGCGGAACTCGCGGATATTTATCGCACGCGTATAATACTTGGATTACAGTATCTCCTCTCAACGGCAGACGTTAGAATTATCCAAAAGTCAAGTTAGTTCTTTAAGGCTGGAGATTATTTCAGCATAGAAAAAAAAGAAACATTACAAAGAAAGGTTAATTTTCTAACTGAGGGGTGGACAAAAGAAAACAGGAATTATCAAAGAAAGAATCAGGAAATTGTTAGAAAAAAAGTCTTATCGAAACATTGCTGAAGTTTACAAGAAACAAAAAAAAATACTCTAAATTCATTTTTTAAGGACAATTCAGAAACTGGAGAGTAAATCAGTAGGATTTAACAAAGCGTGAGTGGATTACAGGAAGGGGTTCCAGGAAATACATCCTTTAATATCCTAAAGAAAGTATTGCGTTTGTTGATATAGAGTTATATATTGCAGATATTACAATTGGTTGATTACAACTTGATGTTCACTTTGAAGCAGTAAAATAAAATAAAGACTTGGTGCTTTCATTTTCTTTTAAAAGCATCTCCTAAAATCCCAGATCTGGAAGAACTGGCTTTATGAAAATGCAGTGATCTTGAATTTTAAGGCAAACTGGAATATATAAGTACTTTCAGCGTTGAATAAAATATGAGAGCACCCTCTGATCTATAAAAAAATAAAAGATGTATCTTAATCCTTAGAAACAAATCTATGATTTACTAGTTGCATATTTTGGATAACAGATTGTGCTCTATATTAACTATTGAGAAATAGCTTTTAAAATCGGCGGTTATTGTAGACTTATTTAGAATATGAGGTCAATTTAGGTAATACGTGACGTCAAATGCATTGACTAGCCAGAAAATTATGCCACTTTATAGATACACAATCACAGAAGATTTTAAGGATATTTAACACATTATAAACTGAAACTAAATAGTTTGATTTTCAGAAATCCACAATGCCAAACAAGGACATTAGTGAACTTTTTAAAAATACATTTTTTACGTATTTAACACTAAAACGACCTTTTATAGGCAATGCCACCGTCCATCAGGTGAGAAAGGGGAACACCTATTCCCTTTATGTCTCTATTACTTTAGGGAATGATATGACTTTGTATGAACTTTATCAACAGTTCTCTGATGCTGATGAAAGGGAATTTACAAACTCTTAATTGAAGGTCCATTTTCCAATACGAGAGAGAAAGTATTCAATAGAAATGAATAAGTAGAAATGAATAAGTATAAATCATATGTACATTTTATTATGCCTTACGAAAAATGGCACTGTATGGCACAAATTGTTAATCTCATTAATTAAATAGCCATCTATTTGCTAATAAGCATATGCTTATTTATTATCAATGTCATTTGTTTGTTGCTGTATGGTCTGTTTTAAATCTTATAGTCATGAAAGACAATATTCTAGAGGAGGCTTTATTCATTTGTTTTCTTTGATCTATCAAATCAATTTATTTTGCTGTAAATAAAGAATTTTCTAAATACAAATGAGGTAAACAAATCATTTTCAAATTCAACACTTGGTTCAACACAGATTTCTTATCATTGATATCTGTTTGAGCCCTGCCTTAGAATTTCGTTAAATCGCCTATACTTCTCTCATATTAATGATTACTAATAACTCATCACTTCATTTGTTATTTAGAAAACATTTTTCTTTCCTTTGTTAAATAATTCAGAAGTGAAAAACAATTAAATACATTATCCAATCTGTATATACTGGTCTAAGTTGACAAAGCAGGTGAAAACATTGTCATTGTTTGTGATCTGTTTAATTGAGTGGATACAATGCTCTTGTCTTCAAATAGAATTTATTATTACCTGGTTAGTGAAATACTGACTGTTGTTCTACAGAGAAATTGTAAGGATATAATTTCACATTAAATTGTTGATAACTTTTTACGTTTTTTATCATAAGAAGAAGCAAACGGAGTGTGTGACGGTCAGCAGGGATTGTTCACTCATCCATATCACCTGATCATTAGTTAGATGATCACTCATCCATATCACCTGATCATTAGTTAGATGATCACTCATCCATATCACCTGATCATTAGTTAGATGATTGAAAGATCAATGTTTGCTCAGCTACTAAATTGTATTGTTTGAGAAAACTTTGGGCTTGAACACTGTTCGTTATCTGTATATAATACACAATGATAAATACATGTAGTACATTCAGAAATGTTATACATGGCACAAAATACAATAATTACGCATGCATTATTAAATCAATAATACAGTCCACAAATATACATTTATACAAAAATTTACGCTGAACGTTGGTCTATGATGGAGACATCTTTACATTTGAAGATAAATTATCCCACAATACTGCAGGCGAATATTGAAAAGAATTTTGAGACATTTCAGTTTGGAAATTGAACATGTCAGACACACACCTCCCAACCTTATTAATATTCAGAGTCATGAACCCAAGGGAGCATTCATTGCATCAGATATTTTCTTTAAACAAGAAAAGACAACTCAAGATTTTCTTTAATGGTATAGTCAGTTTCTTTTATCAATTTATATACATTTAAATTGTGATAAAATTGGGGGGGGGATATTGTGAGATATGTTTTATTTCATTATCACTTCTGGTCAATTTTTATGTTGAATAAGTAAAACATTAACACTCAGTGTATTTTCAGTATGAAATACTGCATAGATATATGAATGTGTTCACTAAATTTCTGTTTAATAAATACAGGTAAATTGAGTTTCAAGTATACCTGATTTCACATAAGCTACATATCTGCAGCTATTAATACATGTAAATATATCTGGAAGGTATCTATCTACATAATTATATTCAGTTATTATTTTTTTTCTGTTAAGTGAGTTCAACAAAAATAATTTAAACTGATATGCACACCATTTATATATCATGACTCATATTGAAAAAAAGACAGAGTAAACAAACAGCATGCAATCATGTTTTTATTTACAAGAAATTTACTAAGCACTACATGTAGACAGACAATGGAATGTTCAACAACAAATAAGTTGTATTTTACTGGCATATGTTATAATAAAGATTATGCTGTTTAAAAATGAATTAAAAGTTTATAAATCAATATTTAGATACCCTTCACAACATCTCCAAATTTTGACTATTTTTAATAAACAAAATTAAATGCAGTTGTACATTCTAAATATTTTTTTTTCCTACTCAAAAAAATTAAAGTTCCATTTTTTAAAGATAATCAACCCTATAATAAAATTCATAGTAAAAATATTCAAGTGTTTCTTTCTTTACTGATCTGGTTTAAAATACATGTGAAATTACAATATGTAATTCATATAGTTTAAGCATGCAATACCAATGAGAGCTACATGTAGCTATTACCTCCCTTTTTTGCAAACATTTTCTATACTGTGATTGAATTAAAAACATCAGTTTTAAGTTATAAATCTTATCTTATCATTTTATAACCTATGAAGTCACCTGCATGGCACAGTGGCAAGAGCGTCTGTTCGAGAGTCATGAGTAAGGAGTTGATCCATAAATTGCTGGTTCGAAATCCCCCAGTCGGACATAGAGATGAAACTGTATATACAGAGGTCCTGTGTTGCAGTAGGTGCTAGCACCATAAAGATCGCTCATTGCTCAATTAGCCATGTGTGCCAAGTAAAGAACAAAATTTGCAGCTCTCCACCCACAAATGTTGGCATCCCCATATGAGTGAAAAATTCTCTAGAAGAATGTTTAACAACGTACAAATAAACAATATAACTATAGAGTCTTTGAATATGTAAATTCTTTTTTTCTGAGAAGGGATCCTCAAATGATGTTTAGATATGGTTCATATGAGTAGAAAAGTACTGTATCATCCCAGCTAGTCTTCATGAATTCAGCAACCATTTGTTATATGGCCTGAAAAATATAAAATGTTAATGCATTAACATAAAAGTATATGATTGATATTTTTATAATTCATCATAAATTAATTGAATCAATAAAATAAAGTCACACTTGTTATCCTAAAATGCTCATGGGACTGCTGAAAAAAACTGAGATATCCAAGAGATTCAGGGTAAGATATATAGAAAAAAAATGTCATTCAAGGGACTTAAAAATGACTTTGATATCTCAATGTGTTCAAAATATCACTCAGTGTCAACTGTCAAAGATATATACCAAAGTTTAGCTCTAAACAGAGTATATAAAATTCATATACATGCATGCCATTTACAGTTTCTAATTCAATCTATCATTGTTCATTAATAATCTGCATGAGAAAGAGATATGCGCAAAATGAGCAAATTAAAGTAACAAAAGTAAGGCCTAAATCATATATATGCAATTCCAAGTGTTTGCAAATCATTCATCCAATTTGTAATACTTTCATGAGCGTCAACATACCCTAGGTAGTCAAAGTTGTTTGATTTTAAGATACTGTTTTTTAACTGCACTTATTTAGACTGCACTGTATTTACTTGTTTTCCAACAGTACACATTTTTCACATCATCTGAAATCCATCATTACTATCATGATGAGAGTTATGCCCCTTTTCTATAACCCCAAAATATTGCTTTCTTTCTGAAAATTGTAGCTTTTTTGACCTTACATACATATCAACTAAAGTCTCCATAAAATAGGAATTTAGATTATGAAAACTTTCAATCTCTACTTAACTTAAAAGCCAAGAAATAAACCAAATGATTTTCCAATATTTACATACGACTTTTGATGTCTCCATATAAGTGAAAAATTCTCGAGAGGGACGTTAAACAATATACAATCAATAAATCAACATACATAGGACTTTCAAGATAAACATTCTGTTTCTAATTATGGCACATCCATTACCCTTGATTCTGGGATTCTGTACTAGGATGTATTCATTCAAAAAATATGATGTATCATGGCCCTGATAATCTTGAATAGATTTCATAATAAAAGGCTTCAGACTTAAATATTCCAGAATAAAACTTTGACCCCCCACTGTGGACCCACCCTACCCTATAGCTATATGATCTGAACAAATTTAAATCTGCTTTTAACTATCTCAGAGTGACTAATAACGACCTGCCTATTCTTGAAAAAAATTACATATCATCACCAAATATCAACATACCTTCTCTTTGGACTTGACATCCTTTCCTAGATTCTCGTGGTTGAAGCTTTCATCAGATAATTTGTTTTGTTACAGCTGAACTACAAGTATGATTAATAAGTTAATACAATCCTCTACATTTAATTAATCCAAATAAAATACAAGCATTTGCAATAATGTGGAAAGAAAACTGATTGAAAAATACTGACAAATATCAATGCACTACATGCAAATCAGAAAAATATGTAATGCAATCATTTACAGTTTGCATAATATGCTGATTTATGTATCAGCATAATTTTCAGTTCATTAAACTGTTTGCTGAAACAGACAACCAACTGTATTTTTAAATTCTCTATTAATGGAATTTCTTCTGCTTTTGAACTTACATGTACTATTATGCAGCATAATAACGTGAGAATTTTTTCACCCATTCTTTATTATTAAAGTATCTGCTGAAAATAGAACAGAATGTGATTAAATCTTTTAAGAATTAAACAAAAATAAAATTCACTGATGCATGGTTTTCAATTATATTGACCCTTTTATCAACATCTCTCTCTCTCTCTCTCTCTCTCTCTCTCTCTCTCTCTTTCTCACTATATATAACTTTACACAGGATTCTTTTGTACATTGATATACATGTACATGTAGATATTGGAGTAATTGGGCATGCTTAATATTTTTTATTTGTTTATTCCAATAAGCATGATCAGGATGATAATAATAAATAATAATGTTGCATATTAAATATGTTATAATTTTTATCCTTACAGTTACATATACAATACTCACAACAGGCAAACCTTGAACTTGCACATCACTGTCTTCAGAGTATATCCTGCAAGAAACATTTGATCATTGCACATTACAAATGAATTGATTTGATTTACTTTTTTAAAAGTTTATATTTGCTTTTTTGTTTTATTTTAATGAATTAAATTATAATTTTTGTATCATGTGCATACATATTGAAGACCATTTTTAAATTCAATCAACAATGTCATTCTTCAAAAGAAAAGACATACATTGAATACATGTAAAGATCAGTGAAGCCCATATTTTAAAAATGAAAAAAAAAATATTTTCTTGTGTGGGATGGTGCATAACATTAAAAAAAAAAACAAACAACAAAAAAGGACGGAATGTCTCGATAGCTGAATTTACAATGCAAGGCTAAAAAAATAATTGAAGGCCCACTGGACTGGGGTCAGTGATTTTTGTTTTATCTAGGATAATACATGGTAGGGGGCATCTGTATTTTGGGCCATTTCTATGTACATGTATAACAAAATACAATTATAGTTGGGCTAGTTTAAGTAACTTGACAGGCTTGTTTCAAAGTTCTGTCATTTCAGAATCTTGTTTTGTTTAGATTAATTATTTGCCCAACTGTGTATCACATTAAATAAACAAAATATAACTATTACATTTATCATGATTATGATGGTTTTGGGTCAGTCTCTTTTTATTAAATCTAGTAGCCTAGTGGGATAGTGATATTATGATGATCTGACCAGTAAAAAGCCTGAGTGAGCAGTGAAAGAAAACTATTTCTAGCCTAGGCCTACAATTATTTCACATTTGTGCTTCATCATACACATTTTCTAAATTCAATAATGTTTGTTTATTTAATCTTATAGGGTAAGTTGTGTTATTTTTGTCATACCTTGAGATGGCTGTTCAAAATGTACTTTACCTGCAATAGACAAACAAAAAAGAAAATTACTTTTCATTTAACACATTGAAATAATTAAACAATATATGTAAATTAAATACATGTATTCTTACAAACAAAAATTCAAAACATCAATGTAAATTATCTTAAGCAATATCTTTTCTTTACACAGATTGATGCACGCATGCATGTAATTTATTATACCCCCCGCTTGAAAAGCGGGAGGGTTTATTAAGTAATTGGTATGTCTGTCCGTCTGTTATGCTTTGGTGTACCCATATCTTAACCGCTAATTCCTAGCTAGCTCTCATACCACTGAGTGATATTTGATGACTTTCACAGAATCTATATTACATATTGCAATTGTGCATCATTTTTACTCTTTGATCTGCCACATATTTGGGGTTTGCCATAACAAAACATGGACACAGTCATTATATTCATATGAGAATTAGCGGAGGGTATCATTTAGTGTCAGAGCTCATTGCTCACAGTACCTCTAGTTTTATATAATATTTATACTATTTCATTTGCTACTTTGAGATGGGCAATACTTAAAAAGGGAAAATAGTGGTACACATAGAAATATTCAAAATTTTCATAAACTGCATATGTGATTGATGGATTGTATGTTGTTTGGAATGTCCCTCTCGAGAATTTTTCATTCATATGGAGACCCCACCACTTGCAGGTGGAGGGCTACAAATTTTGGGTGAGGGCCTTTGAGCAGGGAGGCATCTTTTTTGTGCCAGCACCTACAGCGACATGGGGCCTCGATCGGTTTATACGGTCTCATCCAAGGACCGGTCTCCACGTCCCACAGTGGGATTAGAATTAGCGACACAAGGATTGACTCCTTACTTCCCGACTCCAGAGCAGATGCTTTAATCACTGCGCCACGCGGGCGACAACTGCATATGTGAAGTTTCATACCTAATATATACACATGCAAGTATGTGAGAACTGCATTGACGTCATCTGATAATAAATTCTATGATATTAAATTAGAAAAGTAACAACCATATTTTGATCAGAAGGCTCTAGTGAAAACTGCATGATTGATATAAACAGCTGACACTATTAAAACTGCAAACAAATGTAAACAAACCCTTAATCCTTTATCCAGGTAAACATGCATACATGTATGTGTAGAGGAAATTCGGAAGAAGTTCTTGTGCATATACACGAGTATGAATAGAATTAAATTTTAGTCTCTTGGTATTTGAAAAAACACATATGGTTCTCACAAATCACTGGGTATTGATAAATAAGAATAATGACTTTTATACGCGTAACTCTGCATATGCATGCATAGTAGACTACCTTACAAGTGGGAACGAACTATACACACCTGCATTTTCTCTTCAATTTTCGACATGCTATTTACAGCATTTGACAAACATGCCCTAGAATATTTAACCATTTTGTGTTAGAGGTAATCGAAAAAATAAATGAAATTCTACTTACGAGTGTTTTTGTTTACTAAATCAATGTATGTGGGTTAATCTTGACTATCACAACTACTCCCTTCCACGTGGAAACATGTTTACAAAATCGAGAGGTGCTGTTTTGACACTTTAAAGTGCAATAGCACTTGACAGAATAAGAAACTGCAAATCTACTTTCATTTTTCAGGTAAAGAAATGTTTGTTTTTCAACTTTTTGCAATTTACAAATCTTATAAATCGAGATAACGTAAAGTTTTACCTCTTTTTTCATGTTGAATTTCTCTCTCGATTTTCACCTGTAGCATGTTGGTCTCGCTGAATTCTCGCGAGGAGAGCTGTTCGGACGATTACGGATTTTGTTCATATTCTATTACGTTTATCTCCGAATTCTTCCGATTTATGCTAATGAGGTTAGGAGGTGTGAGACAGGTAATACTAACTTATGTACTTTCAATTGTTCATGTACTGACAAACAATAAAATTTTTTTCTTCAAATAAGTGTTTTGATGGCTTTTTATAGACAGCATCTAAGACATAGCGCGCAGCTCTTTTCTGTAACTTATAAATCCTCTCGAGGTTAGATATTGACGCATTACCTCAAACTGTGAAACTGTATAACACTTATGGCATTATATAAGCATTATAGAATAACTTTCTAAAGATTTTCTTAATACTGCGTAATACAGATATACATTAAGATACAGATTAACAAACAGCATCGATGTGTCTATTAAAGTTGAGTGAATTATCAATATGAATTCCAACTTATTTTTCATGTGTGAAACTCTCAAGAATTCATCTGAAATTTGTAAATTTAAGTATTAGTTTAGAAGAGTTGTTTTGGGGGGAAAAGTGTAACATGAATGTTTCCTGAATGGTTATTTGAATTAAGACATCATATACGTATAAAGCAGCATTAATTTTTTTACATTAATTTTCCACAAGAAAGTATACTTATAATTGTTTAAAAAAGTTCAAACTATGGGGCTGCATCGAATGAAAACAACGAAAATAAATAAAATAAAATTGTTTTAGAACGTCAATGGATCATATAGAGTATTCCTCTCTTGGGAATTTTTAAATTGATTTAAATGACAATTTTAAATGCACAGAAAAATTAAAACACTTGAAAAAAAGATATGGTAGTTTCATTAATCAGGTTTATTGTCTTACATTCGTAGTTAAGATGCATGGGTGTCACGCATTTAAATGCTTACAGCGATTATATTAACCGATTTATATAAAAATTTTCATATCACACATGCAGCTATTTGGTATTTTAAAGAATTGAATTGAGAAAAAAAAGAAATACAAAACATGAACGCACCTCTCTTCGATAATATAAAATACAAACATTCACACACATTCAAATCTTTTTGAAAATGAGTTATTTATTTATGAAGCACAAGAGTGGACATTAGTTAATAGTTATCTAGAAATTAAAAAGGTACAATTGATTTTTTTCGTCTATTCAGTTACATGAATCGTTGATAAAAGAAATATTGATGAATTTCGACCGTAGATGATGTATGAATTATATCCCTTTGCACTGTGCTAAAATCAAAACTGAAGTTGAATGAATTTTAATTCTGACATACATTGCATGCATTTACTTTTGATATCTGTTAAAATAAGAAATCTGTCACAAAGGTGTTCATCTTATTAGTAACTTATATAGACACCGTTGAATACAAACAAGACTCTGTTTAAATACAAACAATAAATTTCCATTAATTAATAAAGAGAAAAAATAGCATAACAATGAAGTGTCAGTGTCAAATTCCATTGCAACACATAATTAAACGTTATATTTTTTGTTTTCTGTCAATGTTAGCAAAATTTTATTTGTTCTATATTTTTCCTACCAAAATTGAGGTGAGATTTATTTTTTGATCTTCATGAACTGTTTTTACTTTAATATCAAAAAATATATTTTAATGAAATAAATACATTATAGAAATACACTTGTTCTTTTGGTGACATTTACTTAAATCCAAAGCCATGCATCTTCAAGTTTATTTGTATGCATATAGTTGAGGACAGAACTAATACTGTATTTTCAATCATTCAATCAGACAAAGGTTTGTTATAATGCCAAGCAATGATTAACATCCTGTTATCTGATATTTTGGGGGAACCATCTTTTTAAAATCTGTTTTCTTTCAAATTTTGCAGCATATAATACGCACATTTCTAAAGATTTCAACACGGAAATAACACAAAAATACTAATAAATGTGTGTATATCTTCACTAAAGGGATCAAGTTCATTTGAAAATAAGAATATAATAATGAATAATAATAATTAAAAGAACTTTATTTTCATTGCAACTCTTGGAGATAAATCTATGATTCTTTTTTATTTAAGTTCATGTATAAATTGAGCAGAGTTGATAATCCAAATTCTCCCAAATCCAAGCCACATAGTTTACGCTTTACTCCATCAGCCCGGGTTATGCTAGTTCCCCACCCCATTCTCTGCAGCTGTCGCAGTTATTTGTAAGTTGATATTAAAATGCATTCTTCCTGGCAATTTACAGCAGAATTCCATGCAGTTATAGTTTATGTTATACAGGTGCATATCTGCTTAATTCTCGTAGATTATGCAGTTGTATACGTTGTGCCTTACACTAAAACACACAAACCTTGCAGTTCAGATAATAAACTGGAACCTATATCTGACAGTGACCATGCAATTACTATGCAGCACTGTTAAGACTTATAATGGAACATCAACGGAATATAGACGAGCGAATAACGGACCCTTTTAGAAACTGAATTAATTTTTATCAAGCTGTTTTATCATCACATAACTTATATAGGTATTGAAATAACATTGGACAACTCACTTTGAACTGAATCAAGTTAGGTCTCATTGATGTACTATCATGTGATAAATGCATAGAATGTGTACTGAATCTAGATCATAAACAAAATTCAATATCGGCATACACTAGATAAACTTAAAAAATTAAGTTATTAATTGTTTCTGTACTCTTCGTATTTTCTGGAAAGCGCTGGTGCTTTCAATAGAATTGCTTTTTATTAGTTAAAATTTCATTTATTTCATATATTGATATTATGAACAAAATGTAAAAATTTTGGGAAGGTTTCGTGCGAAATTGTTGAATAATTATTTCTTTAAGAGGACAGTAGGATTCTAGCAGCACTTTTCATGGTACAGAGATGTTTTTACATAACTATTTATATAAATTGAAACTAATTATCCCTGGGGTAGTGTTAAACTTTTCACTTTTTCATTAAGGCATATTTTCTAATTATAGACGTCACATGGTGACGTCGTGGTGAAGTGCCTCCTGTAGTATAAGTCCCATTGAAGTCTACAGAATGCATAATTATAGTAAAAGTTTTATCCTTGACTTTTCCGATTTATTAATTTTACATAATTATAAAAAAAAGTCCTAATTCGCCGAATTCTGATCCATGTGCTGCCTTAACAAACCCGCGTATAAACTCCGTATGCAGGTGATGGAGGTATATTGCTGCATAAGTAAGGGAAGTTGACGATAGAAAAGTTAAAGTCATCACGTTTATCATATAGCTTGGTTGTTAGATTACCATTAGTGTCTTTTTCAAGTAAAATATCCAAGTATGAAGCAGAAGTGTCGGACTCTGTGGTATCTTTTATCTCTAGCTCACCAGGATATATCGTATCGACGTAGGAACGGAAATTATCAATAGATTGATGGAATACCTGGTCTCCAAAAACCACATAGATATTGTCAATCAGAAACTCAAGCATCTTCCTGATGTCAACTTCAGAGTACTAATGCGTGCAATCAGAATCTGTTTTAACAAAATAATTTTGCAAATGACCAATGAAGAGGTAAGTAAATTTACGAGTTCCATTTTTGTTGAAGAAGCAGCTGTCAATGATATCAAAAAGCCTGGATTTTAATTTGTTGTGGGGGATTGTTTTGTATAAAGTTGAAAAGTCGTAAGTTTTTAAGTTGTTGATTTTTGTAAAGTCTTTTGATTGCAAATTGTCCAAAAGTTCTTTAGAATTTTTAAGTATCCATATCTGATTTACACCACTTCTTGAATATATAGTTGCACAGTACTCTTGAAGTTTTTCCTTTACTACTGTCAATATCTAAGTGAGAAGTAACGAAAGAGGCTTGGTTGAACATTTACTGGAATCTGCAATGTATCTTTGTTTGTAAGGATTCTTATGACGTTTCGGAATCCAATATATATAAGGTAGTTCAAATTCATTTTGGCTCTATGGAATATTAAAAGTATTCAAAACTGACAGGTGATTTTGAAGAATTTCTTCCTTAGAAAGAGAAGTATAAGTATAAGTAGGATTACCACTTGTAGAATTAAATCCAAGTTCTTCTAGAGTGCAATTTATATAATGAGCCTTACAATCAAAGACAATGTTGTTACCTGCTTTGTCGGCAGGAACCAGTACGTAGTGATCGTGTAATCTATATAATTCTTTTTTCACTTCAGGTTTATTGAACACAGAAGGATAGATGTTTTTCATTTTGCCCCTCAATCTTTTAATGCATGACTTTAACATGAATCTGATACATTTAATCCATTCTGACAAGGTGTCAATGTCTTCATCAGTCAAACCTGTATTAAGCAGTCACCTACGGGATCCATCAAAAGTGACCTTTATAGAGAGGTGACCTTTGGATAGAGGTTCATCTTTTTTAAAGGAATTTATATGTCAGTTTTGTGTATATATATTATGTATTTCACTACAAAATATACGTACAAGAAAGATAGGTATTGGACATTAGTGACCTCTCTTAAATTGTTATTTTTTATTCAGTAGATGCAATCTTTTAAGGATAAATTCAAACTAAATTTAATTTTAAAAAATAATAAAATACCTGTATATTGAATCTTACACTTACAGGGTGTTGCATTATCCCCCTACATCAAAACAACTTTTTTTTTTCTTGTGTATGGAATGAATAAAACATGCAGTAAAATTTTTTTTAATCTACACTTGATTAAAAGAATTAACCTTTGTACATGTTTTTTTTTAAATACATGTACATGATTTGTTGTATAATAAACTATCAGACTACTGATAATCAGGTATCGATGATAATAATATTCATTTTTTTTAATAAGTTAACTTTTTTCGTCATAAGTGTA